GTATGCTTATACAAACGAACACAGTATCACTCACATTTGATATATGGACTTCTCAGGTACATGATTCTTATCTAGGTGTAACCTGCCACTGGATTTCAGATGAATTTCGCATTTATGATCTTACACTAGGCGTAATTGAAATGGGTGCGTATAAAACTGCTGATGATATCGTTAATACTATCAAACCTATGCTTGAAGAATTTGGTCTAAATGGAAGTAAAATATTAAGTATAACCACGGATAATGGCTCTAATGTTAAATTAGCTGTTACACAATTATCAGCAAGACTTTCAGTATCAGACCCAATTGTTAATATTTTTTGTGCTGCTCATACGTTGCAATTAAGTGTTGAAGCAGGTTTGGAAGTTGCATGTAGCTTACTTACAAAATGCAAAGCTTTGATTTCACTTTTGAGTGGAGAAAAAAAAAGAAAGCAATTAAGAGAAGCTCAAATCAGGGTAGGTATATTAAAAGCCAATGTAGTTGATGTAATAACAGATATGGCAACACGGTGGAATTCCACCTACATGGCTCTTGAAAGACTTGCTGAGCTCGAACGTCCAATTAAGTGGCTAACTAATGACCTTGAAAATTCAACCAATAATGATTATCATCGTGATGGTGTTAATATTCGTGACAAGCTATTATCAAATGAAGAATTTAAAGTTGTAAGAGCTCTTGTTGAACTTTTATATCCATTTGATAAAGCCACAGAAATTCTTTCTGGATCAAATTATGCTACATTAAGTATAATGGTTCCAACAATTGAAGAATTAGTTTATCGACTAAATAATACAAATAGTTATTTCGATATTATAAGTGAGGTAAAAGAAGAAATTTTATCTAACCTGTCAAGTCGATGGTCCCTGCCACATGATTATGGAATGTATGCGTCTTTACTTGACCCTCGATTCAAGAATCTATCTTTCTGTTCAAATGTAAGTATATTTGATATATTTGTAAAAAAAATACACGATTCAATGAAATAATATGAGTGTTGCAAAGCTAAAACCTGCAAATCTTATCTGATAAAATTTGCAGGCAGCACTTATATGGTCTCGTTACATCATATTTAAAAAGTCTGATCAAATTATATAATATAATTTAAATCTTCTTTAAAATTATATACTGCTTATAGTTCTTTTACTAGATGCTAAAACAGAGAACAATTGAAGGGTTATGAAATCAGTTCAATGAATTAAAAAGTATAAGTCAAGCAGAAACCAATACAAGTTTATCTAGAGAAGAGGCTATAAAAAAAAAAAAATCAGCAATGAAGAGCTTTTTCTCTTCAGTCCGGCAGCAGTATAATAAATTTGTAGAGCAAACCGAAATTGATAAATATCTTGCACTTCCTGAAATTGAAACAACAGAAGAAAATGATTCGGTAGTTTGGTAGAAGCAGCGAAGATTAGAATTTCCAATTTTTTGCACACTTGCAAAAAAATACCTTGCAATTCCCGCTTCTTCTATCCCTTCAGAACGCTTGTTCTCAGATGCCGGCAACCATGTAACTCCCAAACGAAACCGATTAGACCCCTACCTCTTATATCAATTGTTATTTTTAAAACAGAATCTTGCTTATATAGATATTTTTTCCCCAATTAAATAGATATACTTTATTAGCATTTCTTTTTTTTTTTATTTACCTGTAAGTTCTCAACGATTTAGAGTGTTGAAATAATTATATTTTTTAGGATTATATATATATTAATGTATTAACAAAATTTAGTTAGTACATGTGGTTTAATTAAATTTATTCATATTATATTTTACTTTTCTTACCTTGTCTCTATTTTATCTTAATACGTATAATTATTACATATGTAGTTGCTTATATACACCTTAAATTTGAAAGTTATTATTAGCTATTAGAGTAACAAAAACCTGTAAATCGATTAAATTAGATTCATTCATTGGACTTCTGAAATTGATTCCACAATAATTAGATATGAATTTCAAGGCTAAGCCACTGAAGTGAATTAACTTATAGTATGTATTCTCTTTTAATTACAAGATCCGATTCGAGAAGCTTAATTTCAGTTAGGTACAACCTTTATTATCTAGAGTAGCAACTCTAAAGGTAGAACCTCTATGTTTGATTATACAAATATTGTAAAAATTGCGAGTAGTGAAAATTTCTAATAAAAGATACACATCTTAAGAGAGAATACTTAATCGATATCAAATACCTAACTGATAATGCATGATTAGCATCATTTTAGAACTCGTGAAATGTTAATCTACTATGTAATTGATTAATCTGATTAATCGAATTAATCAATTTAATTGATTTAATCGAATTAATCGATTTAATCGATTTAATCGATTTAATCGAATTAATCGAATTAATCGATTTAATCGATTTAATCGATTAATCGATTAATCGACTAATTCGATTAATCGACTAATTTGATTAATCGATTAATTGACTATTCGATTAATTCGATTAATCGATTAGTTGGTACAATCGATTTTTAATCGATTGCTCAAAAAAAATTTAGCCAACTAATCGATTGCATTTTTTGGTCCGATTTGGAATACTAGATTAGCTCAAGTTATTATATAGTTAAAACAGATTTAAAGAATCATGTAGAAAATAAGTTAATAGAAATATAAAAGATAATTACTTTGCTAATATTTATGATGGTAATATATAAAAGAATTTTAAAAATCAAGATGAAGATTTCTTCATATTAGAACATACCAATACACATCTTGGTCTTATGATTAATCTGGACTAGTTTAGTCCTTTCAAAAATTCTGTATATTCTACTAGTGCAATATATGCAGTTATCTGCAATTTGCTTTGTAAACACAGATTCAAGCCTCAAAGCATAATTACCCTAGCATTGTTACTGAAACCTAAAGAAGTTAAATCACATTATATAAATCATTATCTTGCACCTTTGGTTGATCAATTGCTTGAATTATGAAATAGGGTAGAAATTTTTACAAATAAATCTCCTAATGGCAAAAAAATTAAATATGCTATTATATATTATTTATATAATATTCTAGCAATCAGAAAGTTATGTGGACAAATATTGACAAGAATTGCATGTTTTTAATATGAAAAACATGCATGATTTGATGCTAGACATCAACCTAATTTTGGTGAATTTTTGGATATAGATGACTAGTTTGTAGAGCGTGATATTGAAAAAATTAAAGAAGATATATATAAATGGTTACAGTACAAGACTAAGGATCAAAGAAAGAAACACCTTTCTAAAACCTTAGTGAGATGGTTAGAACTCTACCATCTTTCTTATTTTAACCCAATTAAATATATTATTATAGACTTAATATATTGTTTATTTTTGGGAATTGCAAAGTAGATTATTATGTGACTTTGGATAGAAGGTGAAAAATTAAGTGCTAATAATCTAAAACTTATAAATAAAAGAGCAAAAAAATTACAACCTCTATCAGATATCGGAAGAATTCCCTATAAAATTGCTATAGATGAAAGATTTTCTGGATATACTACAGACCAATAGTGAACATTTATAATGATATATGCTACTATGATTATCTGGGATTTATTAACAGAACCAAACCAGCATATTCTTGCAAACTTTGTTAGAACATGTAATCTGTTAGTTTGTAGAATATTAGATAAAGAAACACTTAATAAAGCTTATTAAAGATTATTAAATATAGCAAAGTTAATAGAACACTATTATGGGCCTAAAAAAATTACTTCTAATATTTATTTAAGTTTGTATTTGTGTGAAAATTGTATAGATTATGGTCTATTATATTCATTTTGATATTTTTCTTTTGAGCATATAAATGGAATCCTAGATAGATATCAGATAATTGTTATATATAGTATTATATTATGTAAAAATACTTACTGATATATATAATTTATATTTTGTAGGCTTATATAAAAGTAGCTATAAGAATATAGAACCAGAAATTTAAGAATTATTCTTACAAATAAATATTTGGATAAAATTGTATCACATGCTAAAAACAATAACAGGCTATTAGATTCTTTTACAATACTAAAAGGAAGAATATCTGGTAGAAGCATGGCTATTCCAGATAAATTTGAATTACAAGATCTTTTTTAATTTTATAATTTAAGAAATATTATTAAACAGGAAAAAGCTTTTGGTTTCGAACCATTTTTTGGTATATTTCTTGATTCAAAATTAAAAAATGCTATATTACTACCTGATATTCAAGACCTTTTAATTAAATTCTATAATGCAGCAAAATTAGACTATTGCTTCACTAAACCTGGAGTGATAATAAGAATTGATCAGATACCTGTGTTTCCTGGTGTTATTCAATATAGATAGCTAAAGTTAGGATCAGAAATTTTTGGGTCTATATTCTCAGCTTACTATATCAAATCTTTAAGAATTCTAGCAAGATTTGTTGCTTTAGAAAATGAATCAATAGATTCATATCCTAGTTAAGTTTAATTTTATTTTGACCACACTATCTATCTTCCTTCTAGTGAACAAACATATCATCTTGCATTTGTAAGATGGTATAAACTCGCTGAAAATAATGAAACAAGATTCTATATGAAAATTAAAGGTGATAATCTTAGTTGTAATGTAGAGTTGTAGGAGCAAGAATTTTACAAGTTGGGCAGGAACTGCATAATTCCTATATATCAAATATATCAGTTACATGATTTGTCACACATACATTATATATAAATTTTTTTTTTTTTTTTTTTTCAGTATTAAGGTGACCTTCTTGGCCTGGGGACTTTTTATTAGTAATTATTAGTTATT